AATAATAACAATATAATAATAATAGTAATAATAATATACAGGACAGCAGGTCATCTCATTGCTTGCACAATTCACTCTACACGTGCACCTAAGAATGTGATTCCCTATATAAGGAGCAAGGGTTCATACTGTGTGGCCTTCCCAAAGGGTCAACTTTACCAATTTTACTATCATTCTATAATAGGTCAATGCTGCTTGGACTTCCTCCCCATACCATACATTTTTAGCACTTGTAATACAAACTTTGATGTGCAATTAACTGCAGTTTAAAACCTCTGTGGCTTTCAAGTATATGACTGGAAGGTATTGATCAGATTTCTACATAATTGGAATTTGCAGAGTCTGGCAGCAGAAAGGGAACCTTAATTGTCACTAAGCCAGTCCCTAGATCCATGTCATTAAATGGGAGTGCATGTTCTTGGGGACCGGCTCTTTTAGTCCCGAGCATGATGTGACTGTCTGAGCCTCCAGCAGCTATCATAGCTCTAATAATATAGTGTAACATCACCACACTTCACTGAAGCGCTGCTTTGTAAACACCACATGCAATATTTATTCATTTCTTTATACTTCAGCCTCCTTGTTACCACTTCATAGCCTATTAATAAATGTATCAGTTCTCCTGATTCGTTTTCTCCCAGCTTGGTGTTTGCAGATGACCTCAGGCTGCATAAGAGCGCGTGCTAATTTGAGAAAGCCTCTCTGTGGCTTGCTTCCATTACAGAAGAGTTTATTAACTCTTGGATTTTTACTGGCTGCAGAAGCTATGTGGGTCAATAAGAGAGAAGGATTTCGTTAACAGGCAGAAGAAGCAACTTTTCTTTGCCTTCTCTGTCCATGTCTTGTGCTGTGGCAGAAGACACGGCACAGGAGGTGGGACCTTTTCATTATCCCAGGCATACTGGGTATGAAGGTAAACCTAGCTGAGATTTAAGCAATACAGATAAAAGCCCAGTTCTTGGAAGTAATGACTGGCCTAGAGTCTGGGTAGCTCTGAAGGTTTTCAAAGCACTTTTCATTAAATCATTCAAACAAGACACCCTATAATTCCTAAAAAAAGAAAACCAAAACCCAAACAAGTAAATATCGAAGAAACGTGAAACTCAAAAATCCAGTTATTTTTGTGTGTGTAAAACATACCCTCTCCCAAGAAAACAAATGCATGAACTGAGGCTCATTTAACCCAGGCCTACTCACACGATCTCTTTTTACTGGCTATGACACAACCTATTTGAAATTTTAGTCAACAAGATCTAAACCCCAGAATTTTATTTATCTCCATTGAACCAAACATCAAATTATATTCTCAGAGTAAATATTAAGAGGCAGGTATAAAACAATCAGAATGTGGTGTTTCTTCATACAATGCATACTTGAGCTGTAAAACATTCCTGTCTAGGAAATTGTAGGTGGTAAAAATTCAGTGGGTCCAAATCAAAAGGCCAAATTGATGGAAGAAGTATTTTTCTAGAGCTTATCAAAACCTCATTTTCAGTTGCTGGGATGCTTTTTTTTTATATATATATATATGTATAGGCAACAAGTCTAACTCAGATAGTCTCTGTGCCACAACTAGCTGCAGACAGGAAGGGAATTCATTATGTTGTTCAGTCAGCGTTTGTAAGGTACATCCTCAGCTCTTTTGCCAGGTTGTATTCAAGTAGTTTACATGTGTTACTTCCAACAAAATCATTAGAATAAAAGTTTTTACTAGGGATCAAATACATTTTCTGCATGTAGTTCTACTCACCTTTCACTTCCAATATGAGAGTAGGATCTATTGACTTACACAGTACTTTTATTTTCAATATATTTTCAGAGCCCAACTGTGCTATTTTAAACAGTACAATTTAATCCAACAGAAGAAAGTCCTGTGGTAAACTAACTTGTTTATATCTTGTTTCTCAAGCTATCATTAGCACTCTTTTGGCCTAACCAGTAAAATGCTTAAATGTTTGGGTAGGCAATAGGCACATTTCTTTAACACTTCAGTAAATGTTTCCTGCTTTCAGATTAAACCAATTGCTAGAATATTACTACACACTTTGGAAGTGCTGACTCAGAACTGCAGCCTGGAAAAGTCTCTACACCTCATTGCTACAGTTCATTCAGCCTCGACCGACCCTCCCATCTGCAGCCTGCACGTCAGAATGTCATTTTGCCAAACACCTTGAAGTAGGGAATCGCATCTCCTCAGGAGCAGCCAGGGATGAAACTGCAGTCAAGCTCTTCCTGGGCTGCCTCTTTGATCTAAGTGAGGCATTTATCACGCTGAGCTGAGACTCTCCACTGATGGCATGTCAGTGCAAATGGAGCCCAAAGATAACAGACACCAGTAAATATATAACATTTACTATGCGTTCCCCTTCTGAAAGCTCACAGATTTTTTGAGGCACATCTGACTCTGACCATACTTGTATGGTAAGTCCTGATCATTAGTGCTAAAGGGAGTTTGCCATTGATTGGAGAGCCGGAATTTGGTCGGAGCTGTGCTGAAATAAAAGTGCCAGAAAGTATCATAACCACTCTCTAGAAGTCTGGTGAAGGTACGGTTAAATACCATACTTTTTAGAGCCCACTGTACTGCACACCTCATTCGAAGTAGGTTTTGAACTCCTATTCAAATACGCCTTTGGAAACCAAATGCCCTGGCCCACATCTCAGGATAGCACTAAATACTCCGTCTTGCCTAACTCCTCTAACTACATTCATCTGAAAGTTAGATCACTCCTTATCAAGGCACCAGTGGCAGAAGCATAGGTAGCTGGAGGATGAGGATTTCCAACTGATAAACTAGGGACCTAACAATTTTCTCTCTGTTGCCCAAAACACAGCTCCTGAACCAAGCTGCAGAATGGAAGCTCCAGGCCAAAATGCTAAAGGAGCAAGAGACTGTCCTGCAGGCACAGGTGACGTAGGAGAGGTGATTGCATGGTGTGCCTTTGTTTCCCAGTTTTTAACCCATGAGGCACGTTCCAGGTAAAGTATCCAAACTACTTTCTGTGTATTCCTTCTAGCCTCATTCTACATCCCATAGACTATTGCAAAGGAAACAGGTTATTTTCAAGCCAACTGTAAGGTAATGCCCATACTGCAAATCAGACTGTGTCATGTGGGTTGTTTAGCCTGAAGAAGAGAAGACTCTGGGAAGACGTTATTGCAGCCTTTCAATATTTAAAGGGGGCTTATAATAAAGATGGAGAGAGACTTTTTACCAGGGCCTGTAGTGACAGGACAAGGGGTAACGTATTTAAACTAAAAAAGGGTAGATTTAGATTAGACATAAGGAAGAAATTCTTTACTATGAGGGTGGTGAGACACTGCAACAGGTTGCCCAGAGAAGCTGTGGATGCCCCATCCCTGGAAGTGTTCAAGGTCAAGCTGGACAGGACTTTGAGCAACCTGGTCTAGTGAAAGATGTCCCTGCCCAAGGCAGAGGGGTTGGGCTAGATGATCTTTAAAGGTCCCTTCCAACCCAAACCATTCTATGGTGCTATGATTTATGAGTGTTTACACTACTCAACCACACAATGTGTGTGCCTTGGCTTGATTATTCACCATAACTACCCTTCAGGCACGATTCTAATCCATCGAAGCACTGGAGTACATACATATCATGAAACATGTTTACCAAACTGGAGCTGATGTGCTCATGTGCTTTTCTGGACTGGGGCGTGAAGGCAGCATTTTCATTAACTTTAGTGGGAATTCTGCCTACTAAGGGCTTATACAATTGAGCCTCTAGGGTTTCAGTGTTTAGTTGGAATTTGAAACATTCAATAAAGTAAAATTACTTGCCAAAATTACACTAAGAGTCAGGCTGGAGTGAAAGGCAGTAAAAACGAGAAACAGGCAGTATATACTACACTTTGAGAGCAATGTAATAATTGACCTTGAATACGACTGAGAACACTAGATGACATGCTGAAAATCATCGGTAGATTTTCCTAGACTTACAGAAACAGTCATGTAGATTTATCTTCTTTGACCTGACTGTGAGAAAGGTCCCCCCACAGCAGAGGTCTGTGTCAGTCCCTCAGCCCCTCTGCAGCTGCCCATGTCCTCACCCATCAGGAAACCCCCTCCTAGCCCTGGCTCACAGTTAATCATACTGGTAAGTTGTTCCAGCTCTGCCTTTGTAGATGGTCTAATTACTACCTGTTGAGCAGTGAAGAAAGGCTAACATTAAACTGATAACCTGGAAACATGCTAAGAGGAGTTTAGTCCTTTACATGTTTTTTCAAAGGCTAAGATAAGCTGGTAGCGCACCGAAGAATATCACCTAAACTGCTGCTGACACCAGTTTGACAGGTTCTGCAATCAAACCTCAAAGGCCTCCAGCTGAGTCTGTCCTCACTGCAAACCTGCTCCCAATTTTCTCAGAGTGGTTTTAATTAAACTTTTATGTTCAACCAGAAAGAGTTTTGTATGCAGGCAGACCTCTGTAGCCAGTTTAATGAAACTGAAGGTACTAATAAAAGCTAGAATATATTAAGCATACATTTGAAACGGTAAAATTGTTTTTAGGAAAAGTCCAGTCAAACAAGTCTGCAAAGGCATTGATAATACATGTGCCCCTTGCAGACTTGCATAGACAAAAATTAAATGGTTCACTTGCTGAAATGAAACATGCAATTAGGTGTTCTGCTCAAGTGTGAGAGCTCTGTCACTTACACAGCAGCCTCCATTTGGAATTATTGGGAATAATAACATTATTATTGTTATTATCATTTCCAGTATGGTAGCACTGAAGGGCCTCCTTCATGGATCAGATGCCATCGTGCAAGGCGTTGTGCAAGCACAGAACAGAAAGAGCAAAAAGAACTCCTTGATGCAAACAGCAAAAATACAACAAATAGATATTAACAGAGGAACAGCTGCATGGAAATTATGAGAAGACGTTGGTCAATGAGATAAGGAGAAGCCGTAATATAGCCCTCACTGCCTGTTATTGCGAGTGAGGTACCACTCCATTTTAGAGGAGGTGATGATCACCCACTGCTTCCTTGAGCTGGAAGGAATCGAGGGACATCAGCTTCATGCCAGCCTGTCCCTGGGCAGCACAGCGCGCCTGAGATGGCCAAATCTGGCCGTCCAAATGGTGACAGGGATCTGGCACCAGCTGAGGGAATACACCCAAACCACGGTGGTGCTTCCCAGGATGCTGCACACCCTCCCCAGGCACGTTGCTTAGGCAGGCTTTTCTAGCTTTGTGCTTTGAAACAAAGCAAGAAGATAGAAGTCAGCTGAGGCCTTTGAGTTTTGGTAGCCAGCGTAGTGCAACCACTGGGCTGTGGTGACCTAGCAGAACATAACAGGGCCAAAGGGGCATCCCCGCTGTAGCACCCTCACGGCACGGCGATGCTGCGATGCCCCCACTTCCCAAAGCCTTGCACGTGCAAGTTGTCACCTGGCAGCAGAGCCGCCTCCGCTCTCCCTGCCCACGCTGTCAGGGGGCCGGACGGGTGGTGGGCAGCAGCAAGGGGGTCCTCCTCTCCTTAACCGAGGAGCACAAGTGCATGCTCCTAGTGAGAGACAGCTCTCACAGCCTGTTCCCAGCCACTATGAAAACATTCATTTATTATTCAAATTTAAATTGCAGAAGCTATTCTTGGTGCTATGGTACTGCCTAGGGCCCCAGCTGAGATCTGAGCTTGCCCTGTTCAAACCTGGAAGGTTTTTAATCTAAATAAACAATAGGCAAAAGTTGGAATGGAAAAGCAGAGGCAGAGAATTGAGGTGAGGTTTTTTAAGACAATGTCTCTGGGCCCCGGTTTGCTGGCTCCTGCTGCTGTTCCCTCACCTGGCTTTGGGATGCTCAGGCATTTCTCCTTAGAGCCATGACATCTATTCCAAATGTCTCACTTGCTATCAGTGTCCCACTTATGCTGTGGCACTCAGGCTGCTAAAACAAATCCCTCTGCATTTCTGTTTGTGCATAGGTCACAGCTTTGGCTACCGCCTAGTATAAATACACACATTCAAGCTAATGTCAGCTAGCTCCGATATTGGCACCACAGAGCTCTGCACCAATTAACCTCCCATGCCTTCACCCAGCTATGCGAGGCAGGGCTGCAGGCAGTGCCGTTATTCATGGCCACTGAGACACTAACTACCTAGTTTAAACTGAGCTCGGGCACATCCACACTACACTGCAATTGTGGTCACAACATTTTCTAAGGGGCATCATAACAACTAACCAGAACGAACATGAATCATAATATAACCATATTAAACCCACCCCACCCTCAGCAACATTTTCTAAATCTTCTTTTCCTCAGTAACTGAAGAGTAGTGTCAGGGGAGGGTGTATGTTGGCTGGCACCACGCAAAATAAAAGCTGCTACCTAATCATTTAGTCAGCTCCCCGCCGGCGCGGAGAGGGCAGCCAGCCTCCAGCCAGATGCCTGAATACTGCAGGCTGCTCTTGAACCTCCAATTGCTCTGCGCCCACCCTGCCTCAGCCACTGTGTGTTATGCCAATTGCTCTTTTTCTAACGAGAGCTGTCAGGCTGGACAGATGAAATGTCCGATCACCCAAACACTGCGGGGCGTGCTCTGGCACCAGAGGGAAGTGGCTGAGTTGGAGCTGGTCTTCTTTTCTCAAGAGCCGATAACAATGCTTTATCTCTATAGCATCCTGCATGATTTTGGAGCTTTGAAAGTGCTTTTCCCGCTCAGAAAAGCAGAAAAAGTAGAAACCAAGAGAATCTCACAGAAAAGCTCAGCTCTCTAGAACAGTATTTTTCAAAAACATCCACATATAAAAATACATCTTACTGACAAAATACGGCTACAGATGAACTTTCACGTGGCTACTAGGTGTAAACTGATAGCAAAATATGGAGCAGTATCTTAAATGTTGGCACATTGCAAGAAATCTTTCTTCTGCTCTGCTTCATGAAGTGAAGCTGGCAGAAGAGGCTGGTAGGGGATTATTTTCTCTGCCTTTGCTGGCCTCACCCACAGCGGCAGTCCACACGCAGGCTACAAAACAGAGCTGACAAGGTGCCCTCTCAGCTTGCTCAAGCCACGGTGCAAGGATGCAGCTTGAAGGAATCCAGTGCAGGATCACGGTGGTGTGAAGCGAAGGGTGGGCTTTGCTCAGTGGTGGGGCTACCCCACGTGCCAAATAACAGAGGAAGGGAGCCGTGATGCTCCTCTTCAACGGTGGAGTCCCCAGTGAAGCACATCAAGCGCTGCCTGGTGCAGGTCCTGGCCACAGCCTGAGCCACCGAGCGAGGATTGGAAAGATGGAAGAGGGGAAACTGTGGCTGCAGCGTGATGTGGGGATGCCTCTTCCCCAGCTCACTCGAGCATCAGAAGCAGCATAGCCAGGGTAGCACCCAGCTCCCAGCCTGGCTGGCTGCTTAATCAGGAAGGCAGGTAAACAGCTGGGCAGCCAAGCTGCACTGAGCTCCTCGGCTAAAGCCTGCCAGAGTTTACGCGCTTAGGTTGAAGTCACAGTTTGGCAATGTCTGCATGGCGAAGCAAGGCTTAGAGCTCAGGCGCAGCTCTGACCATGCTGGCTCTCACTTTGAGTTAATCCCACTGCCTGGTCCTGCACAGCATCAGTGGTCGGACCAGCTCAGGGTAGTCCCTGCCCAGAGATGGCCCAGGGATCACATTATCATTTTCCACTGTGTAGGTGATCCCGGGAGTCCTTTCCTGTAGGTGTCAGCCACAACGGTATACAGGAAAGAGGTATACAGGGCTTGTAAGGAAATGCAGGGACTGGAAATCTTTGTAGGCTTTAATGCTGTCCTAAGTCTCCACAGAGTTGCCTAGGGAAATGTTTTCAGAAGTCTCCACTTCTAGGGAATTCTTTTGCTTCTGGGCACCCTATGTAGAGACACCATAGCTGCAACATGCAGGAGAATATGGCACCCAGAATTCCAAGGTCTTTTTAAAATCACTGGCCTGGGTCTTTCTATTCTTCCTCAGTTTACCTTTCTGCAACAGAGGAATCATAATAGTTTGCAGTCTTAAAAAGATGCAGAGAGTTTCAGTTCCCTGATGTTTGTGCTTCATGGTCTCCAATCAGAAGCTAATTTCCATGTCCAAACACAATACTTACTTTATTATCTTCTACCAAAGTAGAAGTTTGCCATCCTGGAGACTGAAATTACTGTGGTTATTTTTTTCCCTGTTAATGCAGATCACTCTCTACTCTGAAAGGTTTGAAGAATTTCAGAAAACATTGACCAAAAGCAATGAAGTGTTTGCCACATTCAAACAGGAGATGGAGAAAGTGAGTAGCAGCTCATACCTGAATTCTGTGCTTGAGACTCTCCTTTTAGATTTTGATATTTTTCACTGCAATAATTTTATCTGGGATGGGGATATTTCTGCACATTTTGGAGAACAATCTCATGAACATCCACACAAGATCTGGGGCACACTCAGCCACAAGTGACAGCAGCTTAGACTTCAGCACTGCAAGCTAAACATTTCACTCTCCCTTTCAGCTAAACCTGAAATTGTCTTGAAGAACAAGCATTTTACCTAAAACCTAATGTGGTGGTTGGGTATAGACCCCTCAGAGATACCAGAGGAGGAGCTGGGAGCTGCATTTGTCAGCCCACATCCCCAGGAAT